GCGATCCACTCTGCTAACAGGATCTCGTCTCGGAGCAGACCGAGGCTCTAATTTCTAGCTATTCGACATTGACACGAATTGAAGAACTTAACTCTCGTACACTCCCGCTCGAAAGTCTTTTTTTTTTCTCTTTGTTGCAGAAGGTATATACTTCATACTTTGCACTCAATCATATTACATGGATCGTATTTAATTTAATTTTGTTGCACGTGTGTATAACAATACAATAAATCAATGAAATACGTTTCATATTTATTGTATTTAATTGTATCATATGCAACGTATTTATTGTATTTTATTCTATGTAATTTATAATTTATTTTCTATTATGCTATTTTTATTGTATAAAGTATGTTTCATATTTATTGTATTTAATTATATGCAGTGTATTCATTCTACTTATTGTATGTAATTTATAATTTATATTTATTACACTATTTTCATCATACAAATATAGTGCAAACTTTATGATATATTTATATTTATTACACTATCTTGATTATACAAATATAGTGCATATTACATAAAGTACGTTTCATATTTATTTTCATTTAATTTTATTGCATTTAATTATATGTTGTGTACTTATGGTATTTATTGTTCTTAATTATACTGTATTTACTGTGTCTATATTATATATAAATAATATATAATTCATACTTATTATGCTATTATTATTATTCAAATTTAGCCTAAAATTTGTCCTCAATTTTCTGAGCGAGAGTGTACATATTCTTTCCCCCGTATCACGTGAATTTCATGAGTATCCGTAATATTATTAAACTTCTCGGATATGCACGAACATCCGCGTTACATTCAACAAGATAAAAGATATACATATTTTATTCAGCAATCAACTAGAAAGAACGAGTTTGGTATTATAACATGAAACATATTGAACATGATGTCTCTATTCTGTGGTCTTCAAACACATGTACAAAAGAACAAACAGAAAATTATGGATCTGTAGTGGACGTTCTGTTCCGAATCCACGTGCAAAGTGGATGGAAAACTGTGAGTATCCTCTTTGAGAAGATGTTAATCAAAGAAGCAGCATTAGTTCAAACGGATCTTCGCGAAAGGAGGAAAACTCGAGGGGAGGGGAAGGAGGTGATGCATTGTTTAATTTGTACCCACGTTCTGCTAGGAAGAGATAGCGAGATAGAGAGAGAGAGAGAGAGATTAAACTGTAAATCTGAGCTCGAAAGAAAGCATGGTAAGGTTACAAGATAGCACGCATCCACGTAATAATAAATGTTAGACATGGAGATTAGATAGCTCGTCCAATGTTTCGAAATCGAAGAACCGTTGTTTCGTTAGTAAAAAAAAAAAAAAAAAAACTGCTTCCGAAAATCATTAGGAGCTCCGAGAACGTGTACTTTTTTTTTTCTAGAAAATCATCGTAACTCAATCTGCCTTAATCACTCGATAAAAATCGAAGATTCGAAGAACAATGGACATTCAAATCGCGGCGTATGATGAAAATCATTGAAAGTTCCACGATCGCGAAGACAGATCACGCCAGTTTCGGCTTTTTATTTCTTGTTTCGCATTTACATAAATGCACGGCTTATCGAGATCTTAACCATGTTTCGTGAAACACAGCTCGAGAAGTTTCTTTTTCCTTTGAGGAAAAAAAAAAAAAA